CGCCGCGCCTTTGCAAGAAAACGGCTCCACTGCCGCTGCAGCCGATGCGGTGCCGCTGGTGTCTACGAGCGAGTCGAAAGAAGAAGAAAAGGTCGCATCAACCGGTTCCGCTGGTACGGCAGACGATTCCACCGCGGCGGCGGCGGCGGCGGCGGGACCCACGACAACGGCAGCACCGCCCTGCCGGTCGCGGGAGTTCGCCGCCCTCGCCACCGAAGGCTGGGGGTCCCTGGCTCTCGACGAGGCCCTGGTGCGCGTCGCCAACGTCGTCGCCGGTCGCCGCGGGGTGCCTCCGTCCCACCTCTCGGAGGCGCAGCTGTCGGAGGCGGTGGAGGCGGCCGGCCCGGGGCTCGGCGGCCCCGCCCTCGCCAGCATGAGCGCGGAGAAGCTAGGCGCGCGGCTGATGCTGCTCGTGGAGCTGAACGCGAGGCTGTCGGTGGCGCTGCCGCTGCTGGACCTGTCACGCGAGAGCCGAGCGCCGCTGGCGGTTACGAAGAACGACCTGCAGCGGGCCGCCGACGTGCCCGGCGTGTCGGTCGGGGTCCGGAGCCCGTCGGGGGCGGCGGTGGCCGATCTGAGAGGCCTGCTGTTCACGCAGATGAAGGTGGGTTTGTTGTGGCAAGGCGGGGGTTGCGTGTGGCTGTGGTTTTGTTTCTTTGTGATGAGCTGGTGTGGTTCAAAACCGACAGCCGGGGTGGGTGTGGTTGCTGGGCGGTAAGGTTTTGGGTGTTTGTGGCGATAGGTTTGCTGGTTGCCCCGTTTCGAGCGCTCTTCTGTTGCATAATTTATTTACCCACATTAATGAAGCATCACTGCCAGATAGCAAACAGCACTAAATACATGCAGGAGGGGTCCAGCCCCCCCCTCCTATGTGACCCCGGTTGGGTCGTCTAGCTGGTAGAAGTGGAGGATAGGGGCCAGAGGGGCAGACGACGGAATCCAATGATGGGAGAAAAACATGCCTAACAGTACGGCATGACCTCATCATGCAGCACTGGCCACGTGGAGTTAAGAGAAATATGAGCGCCCACCTTGCAGACACACAGTACAGCCTTACACGCGACCTATGCGGAATCATCTCCTGTTTTTGTACCGGCACATGCCGACCTTAAATTATCGTCACATGCCCCGATAAACTTTTTCCACCCCTCCCTTCAAAACAACTAAATACAACGATGGGTACAAAACGTGCAGATGAGCTACTGGAGCGAGGTCGTGCAGGAGACGACTACCTTCACGCTTCCCAACCCGGACGAGTACGAGCGGCCGGAGGAGATCCGAGAGATCGAGGTCAACCGCGTCAAGGCTCGGAGCATGGCGGTAGAGGCCGACGCTCTCAACTTCAGCGACAAGCTTCGGGCGTCTCTGCTTGGCCAGCTGAACGAGGCCATGTCGGATTGGGATGACCGGGACTTGAGGCGAAGCTTCGTCCACATGCAGGTATGTGTGCGTCGGGAAGTGCTGATTTGTTGTTGCTCAAGGCATGCTATCTGGCTTGTGTACCCCACTGCTGACGATTTGTTTCTCTCTCGTTGTCGTGGGAAAGGCGGGGCATTGCTACCGCTGTTGTAGTCCCTTAGGTATGGCTCTTGAGGGAGGGTTACCCCTAGAGGTAGCGAAAATTGTTCCTTTGCCTAAACGGCGCGACTGCTGTTGTCGAATTTCAGGGACGAAGTTTTTTTTTCCCCTGCGCTGTCTTCTGTTCATCGATCCCTTCGATAACGGCAAGCATTCATGCTCACCTCCGGCCTTGGTTGGGACTTCCAACGTCGTTACGAAACACCTCCGGTGCCGCACCTGTGTACCGCCTTCGTCAGACAGCAATGGACGAACCTTCGTATCTGAGTCTCCGTCATGAGTTTTTAACACCCAAAACCTTCTGCGTAACTGTGTGGAAGAGGATAATTTCGTTATGTTTTTGACCGATTAAAAAAACATAACTCCAAGTTCACGCTGCTCCAACCTCACTTGACACCCTCCCCCGATCGCCTTGCCTGGCCTACACCAAGGATGCTGGCCAACCGCGGGCCTTCTACGTGCGCTTCAAGGGGGAAGGGGTCGACGACCACGGCGGGCCCTACCGCGCGGTGTTCCAGACGGCCATGGGCGAGGAACCCTCGGGACTGCTCGGTCTTCTCACCCCGTGCCCCAACGGCCGCAACCGCTTCGGCCCCAACCAAGACAAGTTGCTGCTGGACCCGCGCACCCCGCCGGCAGCGGCAGCGCCGACAGGCGGCGGGGGCGGTACGGGGGGAGTAGCGGCGGCGGCGGCGGCGGCGGCGGTGGGAGGGGGAGGAGGGCCGGACCCCGCGCGGTTGTCCCTGTTCCACCACATGGGGCGGCTGCTGGGGGTGGCCGGGCGCCACCGCATCCACGTCCCGCTGGCGCTGCCGTCCCTGGTGTGGAAGCCGCTGGTCGGGGCCACCCTCGGGGCGGGAGACCTGGAAGCGGTGGACAAGATGCTGGCCAAGGGGCTGGGCGACATCGTCGCCGGCCGGCTCGACGAGGACGAGGAGCGCGAGGTGTTGGAAGACGCGCTGGCAGCGTGCGCGGAGGACGCGGGGCTCGGCGCAGCAGGCCGTTGGTCCTCGTCGTCATCTGCTAGCGGCAGCGGCGGCCGCTCGACCGGCGATGCTACGGTAAGCGGCGGCGTTGGTGGCGGTGACGAAGACGTCGCCGGCGGGCTCGGGGCGCTCCTGTCCTCGCGGGGCCGGGCGCTGTCGCCCCGGCAGCGGCGGCTGGCGGTGCGCGCGGTGGAGCAGCTGCGGCTGACGAGCGGGTCCAGGTGCCTGGAGTCGCTGTACCAGGGGCTGGCGGGGGTCCTCCCCGTCGAGCTGCTCGGTGTGTTCACCGCGGCGGAGGCGGAGGCGTTGTTCTGCGGGGTGCCGGAGGTGGACGTGGACCTACTGCAGCGCGCGACCGAGTACGAGGGGGTGCGGCCGACGGACCCGCACGTGGGATACTTCTGGCAGGCGCTGAGGAGGATGGGCCGCGAGGACCGGTCCTCGTTCGTGAACTTCTGCTCCGGGCGGAGCCGCCTGCCGGGGTCCGCCGCCGAGTTCGCGATGAACTTCAAGCTGACCGCGCCGCACAGGGACTACGACGACCCGGACGAGTACCTGCCGATCGCCCAGACGTGCTTCTTCAGCCTCGCCCTGCCCAAGTACAGCTCCGTGGAGGTGTGCCTCGAGAAGCTGAGGTACGCCATCAAGAACGCCGACCTGATGGACGCGGACTACCTCGTGAGGTCCGCGGACGGCTGGGAGAACCTTCGGTGATGATGAGTGATGAGGATGGTTTTTGCTTGGGTCGTGCCGGGGGAGGGTGGTGATGGTCTTCGCCGGGG